ATCCCAGTCCATTTCAAACGTTTCAAACGCTTTTGCGTCCCCCAGCAAGGCCCTGACGGTGTCTTCTTTGCAAATTTTGTTGCAAACGGCGGAAGCATGGGTGGCGAGAGCATTCACTTGGGTGGAGAGCAGTCGTACGATTTCAAGCCAGATTCTGGCTTGCGATTTGCCGGAAGCCAACAACGTGGCGGTGCTTTCGCGGTGTTGGGTCAATTCGTCATTGCTTTTATCGTTGCCAATCTGTAAGGCTGACAGGGCGGCCCGAGCGACTTCGAGTTGGCGTTCGAGGTCAACGATGACTTCCGGCCCTGGTATCGAGCGGCTTTTTATGTCTTGTTCCAAAACTTGGTGTTCTGCGGCAACCTTATTTTGTAGCTGCCCTATTGTGCGCTGGAGATCTTCCACCCGGGCCGTCAGGTTGTTTTCTTTTTCTTCCAGATGTTGGATTTTCGTGCGGGTATCTTCCATTCGGGTGTTCCAAACCATTTGTAGTTGTTTCAAGATCTCTTGGATTGACTGAACTTCTGTCACTTCTGAAGATGATGTCTCATCACTGACGAGGTCATTTCGTAAATTGGCAAGTGCCTGGCGATCAGAATCACTCTCCGCCGTGACGTTTTTCACGGTTTCTTCAAGGTCCTTCACACGCGCCTCAACGCCCTGTCGCACATTCTCCACCTGTTTTTCGCTCTGCTCTCGTAGGGCATCGAGTTCACCCGTTCGATCCACGAGTTTCTGCCGCACCCCAGCAAGATCTTCTTCCGCCCTTTTGAGTAGCGCTTTGACAGAGTGCAGCTCTGCTTCCACAATCGCCTCCCGCGCTTCTGACTCAGTAAGCTGCTCGCGAAAGTGATGAACCTCTGCTTCTGATCTTTGCAGGTCGGCGCGAAGCTCAGTCACTTCCGCCGCCAGAGTCACAATTTCCATATCGATCGACTAAAAACCAGGTCAGAGTTAGCGAAAAGTAATATCCTGCTTCAAAAGTACGTTTATCACCTTACCTCAGTATTGGCATGCTCGTCTTCTTCCCGGAGCATATCTCGACAGCTTACTAGCTCCGCGGCTTGAACCAGAATATCGTCCTGTAAGACTCGCAAGGTTTTCCGTATGTGGTCTGGTCGAACCCCTGATGTGATAGTTGGAGACGGTGGTTCTTTTGTCTCATCACGGAGAGCAAGCGTGCATTCGAACAAAACCTTTTGCACCTCATCATAAAACAACTGAGCCTTACGTGATATGATAGCTGTCAGTACTTCGCAGTCGATCCTGATCATATGCCATAGGCATCACCATCCAACCTTGCTCAAATCCGCTTGCAGTGCATTTTGTTTCTGTTCAGCTTCCAAGGTTCGCGCCTGAGCATCTGCCAAATCCTCATCCACGTGCTCCCTTTCGTCCATGGCGAACTGCAGCGCAGATTCCAGCTCGGCAGACTTTTCTCGTTCCGTTCGCAATTGCCGCTCCAATTCAGAAACTTGCAGAACCAGCGTTTCGTTTTCTTGATTTCGTCGTTCGAGTCCCGCGCAGCGCGCTTCAGATTCCAGCAGACGATTGCGGAGTGAGACAATCTCTTGATGAGTGCTGAATGCGTCCGATTGACCCGATGATGGGCTTCTGCTGATGTGCATTGTCCTGGACGACTGATCATCTGGGTGGAGATTTGAAACAATGAGCTTTCTGAGACATGGACGCCATTCAAAAACACACTTACCCGGAGTTCGAACGCCAGCCATCACGCGCAATCTCGCATTTTCATCCTCCAACCGCGTCATTCTTTCTGAGAAGCCTGAAGCAGTGTCAGATGGGGCTTGAGAAAAGGATGTCCCGGGAGCCACTGCGCTTTACCTGACTTTATCAAGATCCGCTCAAAATCTGCTGGCGTAGCATCCACTTGACTCAACATTTTTACGATCGTCGCTATCAGTTTTGATATACTATGGTTTGAGTGCGTTTGACTAGCAGCCGCGCCACCCGGCTCATTGTCCAGCATTGTGGAATGTATGCTTGTGATCAGTTTTTCGAACTCTAACAGCATCAAACATCAACTTTAGTATAACTTCTATGAGCTGGCTCGAAACACAAAGTGTATATCAACCATTTACGTCCTGGCGCGAAATGTCCGGCAAGGTGCCCGTGGTGTTCGACAAAGACACTTCGCAATATGGCAGCTTGTCGTCAAGGCCTTGTATCAAATCCGAAGGCAGATAGCGTGCGATCTCGATCTTGAACGTTTCTCGTCGCTTTTCTTCTTGACTGCGATATCGCCCCAACACCTCCGCCATGTCTTTGGCTTTGCTGATGAACACCTAGCAGAAGCAGTATGCTTGAGAATCGAAACTCATGCAGAGTGTGTTTCCGAATATGAAACATACCCGCACAAATTCCCGGCGTCGCACAATCTCAACCAGGGTTGCTCCCCAGGCTGCTGGCATTCGATGGACATGTAGCAGCTGCGCAAAAGCCTGGGTATGAGCATTGAGCACGTTGCTCAATTCGTTAAGCGTGGGCGTGATCGCAGCGATTTGTGACTGTATCAGCGAAATCGACTGCAACCGGCGCAGTATTTCCTGTGACAGATGGGCCTAGATAACAGAGACATCAGGTCATGGTCTATTTCCCCAAAAAGCCAACCATATCGAACCTTTGAGTTGACGATCACAGTTGTTAGCCTTCGTATTGTCGCATCGGATTCGGTAACGTCTTGGGAAAAGTTTTAATGTCAAGTTACACATGTCAATGAGTTCGATTTGCAACATACTGGTGAGGTACTCCTCGCGATGAATTTGTAAAAGGTGACTCAGGGAGCCAAACTTTTCATTGGTTATCGACGATGTGGAACGTGCATCCGCGAGGATTTCCTCAACTTTCACCAGATCTGCTACCAAAGTAAATATGCGCGGTCTCGAAACACAAACAGTCAAAGAGCTAACCTCTTTCAAGTCGCTGATGCTTTGCGTCAAGGCGCTGGCGAGCACTGCGGACCTCTGTCAAGTGGCTTTCAAGCTGCTTGAAGCTGGGGAAATGATCAGCACCGGTGCGCGTCCGCAGCGTTAATGAGAACAGATGAAAACTTACTCCACATCGAGAGACGCGGCATCCTCAAACTCAGTGCCAGCGCGAATGGACTTGATGGCTTCAGCAGCAGTCACCACCCTCTCTGCCAGGTTGTCTGCAAACGGATGCCAATTATCAGAGGCCACTGGCAGCACAAGGTTCTTTGCTGCAATTGCAACCTCCATGGTGCGAGCAATCTCACCATGAGCAATCCGACAGTTTTCAGCCCAAGTGATCAGTTTGTCCTCTGGAACGTAGTCAGACAGGTATTTGTCTCCATCTACAATGGCTGCATGAATGGGTAGCCTATGTAGTGCTTGCATGTCTGTTGGAAAACTAAAGAAGGCAGCTCAGCAATTCTCACTTTGATGCATGCCGAGACGTCATCTGCCAAACCTCTGAATCCGGACTGCGTGTTGTGCCATTTCTTTTTGAGCATGCTGATAAAAGTTGTCAAAAGCTTCGCAGATGGCCCTAGAAAAGCCAGCAACGTGATCTTGTCAGCCAATGCCCGTGCCCCTAGCACTCACGCAGGACCAAGGACCACGGACCTGCTATGACCTTTGAGGTTGGTGAGAGCAACATTCAAGGCTTCGGCTTGCCCTTGTTGCTCTGGAAAGCTGCCGTGAGTTAATGAGAAAATTTACATTTCCAAGAATGACACTGCTATACCATGATACGAGCGATCGCTGATTATCGCGTGGTATGAAGCAGTCCTCGATGTGGCCTGATCGATGTCGTTAGATCCGCGCATGGATGCGGAGAGGTGGCCTGAAGCAGAACTCACCTGACTGTACGCTATGTGCGAGCGGAAGGCAGCCGCGTAAGCATCGCAGCGCTCAGGCAATGCAGCCGAACTTGAGACATGTACGTCCACCAGTACTGCGATGCATCAAGGTCACTCTCTTGCCATAAATGATGACGCATTTTCCAAGCGCACCTTTTTGTGGTACCGGCGGCTCAATGTCAGGAGTGACTGGCATCATGGCTGCTCCATCCGGCGTGTCTACCAGTAAGAGGCGATTATATACAAACAGGACTGATTCTTCCTGACAAAAAAGTACCACGAATTCAGTGTCTTCCTTCATCCCTCCCAGCTATGTGCAGCACCGGGACGCTAACCTTTAGTATCTCAGCAATGTTTGCCTCCTTGACCTGTACACCGCCAGTCGCCCCTCCAAGTAGCAGTATTTGCGCGTGCGGGGGTATGGATGAGAGGGAGTAGATTTCTTCCCGGACATTGTCAAGACTAATTGAAGACGCAACGAATATGGTAGACGAAAGATTATATAGACAGATCAACATGTTGCAGAAACGTAGGTCGTTTTACGCAGAGCTGTCAGTGACCGCTGACTATTAGGCCCTTTGGCTTTCAGAATCAACCCTTCAGCATCTCTATCTCTCTGACCCATAACAGCGCCAAGTCCATAAGTCTTTGGCCGTTCATCAACGTCACTCCCCATCATATGTCCCACACTTTCTAGGAATGACCTTGACGCACACACCTTTCGGTTGCGTCAACGGCACAGACATGGAGTCTTGATCTCTAACCGTTCATCATCGTCACTCCCCATCATTCGTGCCCCACTTTGTAGGAATGACCTTGACGCACACACCTTTCGGTTGCGTCAAAGGCACGGACATTGAGCAAGACTCCAGATTCAGCTTGAAAGACTTTCATCGCGGATTCGGCACTGCGGTCCCGACAAGTCAGCCCAAACTCGACAGATCCCAACTAATAATGCATAAGCTCGCTTACCTCCGGCGGAAGTGTCGGCAGCCAAGGTGCAAAGATTGACGCAGTAGACCGCCAAAAAGTTTATTGTATGGAAGGTTGTGCAGGGTGTGGGGTTTGAACCCACGCGTTCTGCGATGATTCACCCCAATCAGAGAGAGCAAAAATGTACTGTGCACCAAGTGAGTTTAGAAAAAAAGGAAAGGATATGTGCAGGGTGTGGGGTTCGAACCCACGCGTTCTTTCGAACAGATGAGCTTAAGTCAGCCGCCTTGACCACTCGGCCAACCCTGCTTCTTGAAATGGAATGCAAAATGGCAATCCCTTTTTGTTCAGCAAGCAAGGCTGTGGCTTGGTGAGCTTGTATCCAACATCTCAAACCCGTGTTAGCCTTGTCCCATTCCAATTTTTGTCTCACCCTTGGTGACTGGGCATTCTTTAGACCTAACTTATTCAAGCATTTGTTGTATACTTTGGCCTCTTTGTCATAGTCTTTCAAGTTGAAACAGTATATCTCTTCCTGATCGTGGGGTTGGAAGCGCCAAAGGCAAGATTGTTTAAACCCACGAGTTCTTTCAAACAGATAAGCTCAAGTCAGCCGCCTTGACCACTTGGCCAACCCTGCTTCTTGAAATGGAATGCAAAATGGCAATCCCTTTTTGTTCAGCAAGCAAGGCTGTGGCTTGGTGAGCTTGTATCCAACATCTCAAACCCGTGTTAGCCTTGTCCCATTCCAATTTTTGTCTCACCCTTGGTGACTGGGCATTCTTTAGACCTAACTTATTCAAGCATTTGTTGTATACTTTGGCCTCTTTGTCATAGTCTTTCAAGTTGAAACAGTATATCTCTTCCTGATCGTGGGGTTGGAAGCGCCAAAGGCAAGATTGTTTAAACCCACGAGTTCTTTCAAACAGATAAGCTCAAGTCAGCCGCCTTGACCACTTGGCCAACCCTGCTTCTTGAAATGGAATGCAAAATGGCAATCCCTTTTTGTTCAGCAAGCAAGGCTGTGGCTTGGTGAGCTTGTATCCAACATCTCAAACCCGTGTTAGCCTTGTCCCATTCCAATTTTTGTCTCACCCTTGGTGACTGGGCATTCTTTAGACCTAACTTATTCAAGCATTTGTTGTATACTTTGGCCTCTTTGTCATAGTCTTTCAAGTTGAAACAGTAAATCTCTTCCTGATCGTGGGGTTGGAAGCGCCAAAGGCAAGATTGTTTAAACCCACGAGTTCTTTCAAACAGATAAGCTCAAGTCAGCCGCCTTGACCACTTGGCCAACCCTGCTTCTTGAAATGGAATGCAAAATGGCAATCCCTTTTTGTTCAGCAAGCAAGGCTGTGGCTTGGTGAGCTTGTATCCAACATCTCAAACCCGGGTTAGCCTCGTCCCATTCCAATTTTTGTCTCACCCTTGGTGACTGGGCATTCTTTAGACCTAACTTATTCAAGCATTTGTTGTATACTTTGGCCTCTTTGTCATAGTCTTTCAAGTTGAAACAGTAAATCTCTTCCTGATCATGGGGTTGGAAGCGCCAGCGAGAAGATTGTTTAAACCCACGAGTTCTTTCGAACAGATAAGCTCAAGTCAGCCGCCTTGACCACTCGGCCAACCCTGCTTCTTGAAATGGAATGCAAAATGGCAATCCCTTTTTGTTCAGCAAGCAAGGCTGTGGCTTGGTGAGCTTGTATCCAACATCTCAAACCCGTGTTAGCCTTGTCCCATTCCAATTTTTGTCTCACCCTTGGTGACTGGGCATTCTTTAGACCTAACTTATTCAAGCATTTGTTGTATACTTTGGCCTCTTTGTCATAGTCTTTCAAGTTGAAACAGTAAATCTCTTTCTGATTGTGGGGTTGGAAGCGCCAGAGGGAAGATTGTTTAAACCCACGAGTTCTTTCGAACAGATAAGCTCAAGTCAGCCGCCTTGACCACTCGGCCAACACTGCTTCTTGAAATGGAATGCAAAATGGCAATCCCTTTTTGTTCAGCAAGCAAGGCTGTGGCTTGGTGAGCTTGTAGCCAACATCTCAAACCCGTGTTAGCCTTGTCCCATTCCAATTTTTGTCTCACCCTCGGTGACTGGGCATTCTTTAGACCTAACTTATTCAAGCATTTGTTGTATACTTTGGCCTCTTTGTCATAGTCTTTCAAGTTGAAACAGTAAATCTCTTCCTGATCGTGGGGTTGGAAGCGCCAAAGGCAAGATTGTTTAAACCCACGAGTTCTTTCAAACAGATAAGCTCAAGTCAGCCGCCTTGACCACTTGGCCAACCCTGCTTCTTGAAATGGAATGCAAAATGGCAATCCCTTTTTGTTCAGCAAGCAAGGCTGTGGCTTGGTGAGCTTGTATCCAACATCTCAAACCCGGGTTAGCCTCGTCCCATTCCAATTTTTGTCTCACCCTTGGTGACTGGGCATTCTTTAGACCTAACTTATTCAAGCATTTGTTGTATACTTTGGCCTCTTTGTCATAGTCTTTCAAGTTGAAACAGTAAATCTCTTCCTGATCATGGGGTTGGAAGCGCCAGAGGGAAGATTGTTTAAACCCACGAGTTCTTTCGAACAGATAAGCTCAAGTCAGCCGCCTTGACCACTCGGCCAACCCTGCTTCTTGAAATGGAATGCAAAATGGCAATCCCTTTTTGTTCAGCAAGCAAGGCTGTGGCTCGGTGAGCTTGTATCCAACATCTCAAACCCGTGTTAGCCTTGTCCCATTCCAATTTTTGTCTCACCCTTGGTGACTGGGCATTCTTTAGACCTAACTTATTCAAGCATTTGTTGTATACTTTGGCCTCTTTGTCATAGTCTTTCAAGTTGAAACAGTAAATCTCTTCCTGATCATGGGGTTGGAAGCGCCAGCGAGAAGATTGTTTAAACCCACGAGTTCTTTCGAACAGATAAGCTCAAGTCAGCCGCCTTGGCCACTCGGCCAACCCTGCTTCTTGAAATGGAATGCAAAATGGCAATCCCTTTTTGTTCAGCAAGCAAGGCTGTGGCTTGGTGAGCTTGTATCCAACATCTCAAACCCGTGTTAGCCTTGTCCCATTCCAATCTTTGTCTCACCCTTGGTGACTGGGCATTCTTTAGACCTAACTTATTCAAGCATTTGTTGTATACTTTGGCCTTTTTGTTATAGTCTTTCAAGTTGAAACAGTAAATCTCTTCCTGATCATGGGGTTGGAAGCGCCAGCGAGAAGATTGTTTAAACCCACGAGTTCTTTCGAACAGATTAGCTCAAGTCAGCCGCCTTGACCACTCGGCCAACCCTGCTTCTTGAAATGGAATGCAAAATGGCAATCCCTTTTTGTTCAGCAAGCAAGGCTGTGGCTTGGTGAGCTTGTATCCAACATCTCAAACCCGTGTTAGCCTTGTCCCATTCCAATTTTTGTCTCACCCTTGGTGACTGGGCATTCTTTAGACCTAACTTATTCAAGCATTTGTTGTATACTTTGGCCTCTTTGTCATAGTCTTTCAAGTTGAAACAGTAAATCTCTTCCTGATCGTGGGGCTGGAAGCGCCAGAGGGAAGATTGTTTAAACCCACGAGTTCTTTCGAACAGATAAGCTCAAGTCAGCCGCCTTGACCACTCGGCCAACCCTGCTTCTTGAAATGGAATGCAAAATGGCAATCCCTTTTTGTTCAGCAAGCAAGGCTGTGGCTTGGTGAGCTTGTATCCAACATCTCAAACCCGTGTTAGCCTTGTCCCATTCCAATTTTTGTCTCACCCTTGGTGACTGGGCATTCTTTAGACCTAACTTATTCAAGCATTTGTTGTATACTTTGGCCTCTTTGTCATAGTCTTTCAAGTTGAAACAGTATATCTCTTCCTGATCGTGGGGTTGGAAGCGCCAGAGAGAAGATTGTTTAAACCCACGAGTTCTTTCGAACAGATAAGCTCAAGTCAGCCGCCTTGACCACTCGGCCAACCCTGCTTCTTGAAATGGACTGCAAAATGGCAATCCCTTTTTGTTCAGCAAGCAAGGCTGTGGCTTGGTGAGCTTGTATCCAACATCTCAAACCCGTGTTAGCCTTGTCCCATTCCAATTTTTGTCTCACCCTTGGTGACTGGGCATTCTTTAGACCTAACTTATGCAAGCATTTGTTGTATACTTTGGCCTTTTTGTCATAGTCTTTCAAGTTGAAACAGTAAATCTCTTCCTGATTGTGGGGTTGGAAGCGCCAGAGGGAAGATTGTTTAAACCCACGAGTTCTTTCGAACAGAAGAGCTCAAGTCAGCCGCCTTGACCACTCGGCCAACCCTGCTTCTTGAAATGGAATGCAAAATGGCAATCCCTTTTTGTTCAGCAAGCAAGGCTGTGGCTTGGTGAGCTTGTATCCAACATCTCAAACCCGTGTTAGCCTTGTCCCATTCCAATTTTTGTCTCACCCTTGGTGACTGGGCATTCTTTAGACCTAACTTATTCAAGCATTTGTTGTATACTTTGGCCTCTTTGTCATAGTCTTTCAAGTTGAAACAGTATATCTCTTCCTGATTGTGGGGTTGGAAGCGCCAGAGGGAAGATTGTTTAAACCCACGAGTTCTTTTGAACAGATGAGCTCAAGTCAGCCGCCTTGACTATTGGAATGTTGAGCTTTGCGTACTCAACGTTAGTCCTTACATTAGATCCTAACTTGGAATCTCCGGCTAGAACGCGTGACCGTCATACCGGTAACGCTAAGAGCTGAATTGGATCACGAGTAGTGTAATGAGGCGTGGCTCGCCAGCCTAAGCCTAGACACGCGTTGGGAAGGGCCCCGCGCGAGATGGATGCTAGCGTCAGCATCCCGAAGGGTACTAGACCTCAGGGATGGCCACGGATGGCCATCATGTGACCAGGACTGCCTTGCGGTCCAGAAGAAAAGTAGGAATACTCCGACGAGGGCGTATTGAGGACTTAGAGATCTTACAGTAGAATTAGACATAGGGAATTCCCGAATAGAAGAATAGACTCTGGCAACGGACCTAGTATTATTACATGGTAGCACCACCCCGTAGACAACAACAATGGCACGTAGCACCAGGAACAGCCCAATGGCAGTAGGAGAACCCGAAGTCGACACACCGACCGACAACCCCGTCGCAATGTTGGCTGCACAATTGGCGGAGACCCAACGCCTACTGTAGGAACAGATCGCAATGGGAGAGGCCCGCTTCGAAGCCCTTCTCTCAAGGATTCCAACTCCAGTCCAACCAGCGGTTGCAACACCGCACGTCGACATCATCCTGGCAGAAGAAAACCGCGCACAAATGCAAGCCGAGAAGGAACGCCGCGAGAACCTTCGCAAGCAGC